TAAAAAAAAAACACAAATTACAGAAATTACATGTTTCCAAGCCGTGGTATAGTAACCCCCCGTTCACACGGCATTGCACTGCACGTTTTTTACAGTATAAATATTACTGAATAAACATTGGCGCTTACATTAGATATAGAACCATTCACACGGTGTTTATCCTGCAAAATATATATACTATACATTTATCGAATACGCAACGGACTTGTCAAGCAAATCGAATGTACTTTAACGTGTTCGATATACAGTGGCGCATAGTATTAATGCATCTCTGTCAAACGGCGATAAGTCATACGTTTTTTATCGAATAGTCACCGAACATCGGCGTCTAGTATTAAAGTATCTTTTGGAAGGAGGGCACGCATAATTTTATTAATACAAAATGACCAGCGAATCTTCAGTGAACAAAGATTTATTGATATCTTTAGTGGAATAAAGGCTCGTTTTTTCCATACAATTTTTCAAATGTGTTTGTCCGAACTGCTTTTTTATTTATTGGATGAGCCCAATACCTTCTCTTCTTTCGGCGGCAAAGTCGTTTGGTCTTCTTTTCCAATACAAAAGTGCAACAAAGCGTGGATCCATCACAGACGTGTTCTCGACGCGATTGCTGTGTGAATACGGCAGCTATCCGTCTTTTAAACGCATGAAAATATATCGTGTGAACACGCCGCTGTCTATCCGTTTATAATCGAATACGTTAAAACACTTGCAAAACAATACCGTGTGAACGAAGGCTTACAACAATAGAACTGAATATTCAACAATGGATTGTCATAATATACAACGTGCCACAATTGTTTGTATGATTGTAAAAGTAAGGGCTTATTTAGTCCTGAGCTCTGATAACATTTTGGTTTATAGTCTTGGCAATAGTAACTATGTTTACAATTAAGCAAAATTTCTATCGGTGAAGCACCAACAGGAAATCAGCAGATTAAATAACAGGCACGTGGGACTTGTCAACTTACGTCTCAGGATGACAGGCGCAGCGGCAGTGCCCTTTAGATCTTAGTGATTTAATGGACAGGCGTGTCGCTTACCACCAGGTTGCGTCACTTGGTATCATAAAAATAATAATAATAATAAGGAAACAATCCGATACCCTTAGCCGGAGAATAATGTGACGCCATACGTTGCATCAAGATTTTTAAAATCACTTTGTGAAATTAGTTTATTCCTTTAGGGAATATGAGGAAAAGACGATTTCGACTCCATCAGATTACGCAGATCGATTAACGTGAACTAAATCTCTTTATTGAGTAAAATATTCGCATAATTTACTAGCAAATAAAGTACTTCTAATGATTATTACATACATTAAGTAGCAGTAGAGATTCTTGTGAAAGAGTTCGTCCAAGGAAGTATCCTTGCCGACATATTTCTACTGCCAAGGTTTTGAAGGGTGCTGGTGAAATTACAGGCACATGTCAACTTATGTCTCAGGGTGACAGGCGCAGTGACAGTGTTCCTCAGATCTTTGCGATTTAAATAATAATAATAATTTATTTAAGATCATTGATCCACTTTATTAGTAACAATCAAAAACTTAGGACTATGTTAGTAAATTACACTTAATAAAATACTTAAAATAGAAACACTTAAAAATAAATAATAGAAATTAACAATAGGTATGCGGAATTAGAATTCATGTCACCAGCCCTTCTTGGTGTCATGAATTCTGGTCCAATGGCACAATATCGGACACGCTACATCCTCCGATATGGTGTTCAGAAGGCTGTTACCGCTGCCACGCATCCTGCTCATGGTCGACGAAATGCGTTTCCGTACAACTGCGTCGAAACTTAAACATGCCGGACGCACTACAGAACGGGGGCAGCCCCATATATATATTTAAAGCTCTGAGTGGCTCTGCAAATGCTATAGACAAGCGTGTCGCTTAAAACCAGGCACACGATTTGTTCGTCCCGTGACTTATCATCATAAAAAAATACATATTTAATAACCTCGGTGGCCTAGGGTGGTTTGCATTGTTATTGGAGAAGATCCCGGATTCGATTCCCGGTAAGACCTACTTGGGAAATGATTTTTTTCTATATTGGTTCTTGTCTGGATGTTATAGGTAGTGTCCTAAAGTTGATTCCGTTACTCTGGTACTCATAGTAGCAATGGTGTCTTGTCTGGCTAAAAAAATACGACTTTATACCAAATTCAACTTTACCTCATCTCTAAAATCGAAAGCATCAACCAGCCCCACTGCATTCGGGCGTATATTCTCCAAGAGATCCTCGTATCTCTTCTGCAATTCTTGCACGTCCGGCCCCGAAATTGCTGTGTACTGCAACAATAAAGATTATTAAGTAACTGGTGTGGTTGTTTGACACATTATTAAGCTAAGCTTAGCTCCTTGTGCAAGAGTACGTACAGGGAAGTACTGCCACCTGTGATGTTAGTGACGGGCTCAGTGGCAATGCCCCTCAAATTTTTGCGATTTAATGTTCTGAGTGGCAATGCAACTGTTGTGAACAGGCGTGTAGCTTACCATAAGGCGCATGACTTGTCCGTCCTGTCATTTGATAATATAAAAAAAGCTCATGTAAATGGGACGAAGATCCAAGATTTTGATGAATTACAAATCAGTCACTAAAAACGTGACACAGAAACGGTAAAAAAAACTAATTTCTAATCAAAAAATCCGCTAATCTAATAACAGAGCTAAAATCACAATAGCTTATCTTGCATCTAACCCAATATTCTGTATAATAGCTCTGATAATGGCCAATATAGAACCGGTTCAAATTACTATCTCCTATGAACTTGAACGATCTGTCCATTGCTTTTTGCTGAAGAATATTGACCTCTTAACGCAATAAACCGCATAACTGTATAGATGAACTTATGAATCACGATTTAGGGAGTTATTATACAAATCTATTTCATAGGTACGTCATATGTTTACTATTATGGCCAATATTAGTCCAATGTAAATTTGTATTAAAACGAAAGAACTTCAAAAGTTGGTCATTTTCGGGTCAAAGGTTGGTCACACGTTACTTTGCAACCGCATAACCGTTTAGTAGCAGTAGAGCTCCTTGTGAAAGAGTTCGTCCAGGGAAGTACTATCACCATATCTATTTCTGCCGCGAAACAGTAATGTGCGTGTTCTGCGCGCATTACTGCGTTCCGGTTTAGAAGGGTGCTGGTGAAATTACAGGCACATGGGACTTGTTAACATATCAGGGTGATCGGCGTAGTATCTAGTCGTAGATCGTAGATCGGCCCCTCGGATCTTTGCAATTTAAAGCTCTGAGTGGCACAGTAACTGTTATGGACAAGCGTGTAGCTTACCGTCAGGCCCACGTCTTGTTCGTCCCGTCACTAAATGTTATTAAAAAAGAATCTAGTTTATAGGTACGTCATATGTTTACTATTACGGGTCCAATGTAAATTTGTATTAAGATGAAAGAACTTCAAAAGTTGGTCATTTTCGGGTCAAAGGTTGGACATACGTTGCTTTGCAACCCTATTCTATGTTTAACTGTTTGGTAGCAGTAGAGCTCCTTGTGAAAGAGTTAGTCCAGGGAAGTACTGCCACCTTATCTATTTCTGTCGCCAAGTAGTCATGTGAGCGGAACGCAGTTCCTGTTTCAAAAGGTAAGGGTGCTGGTGAAATTACAGGCACATGGGACTTGTTAACGGGCACAGTGGCAGAGATCTTTGAGAGGCAACAACTAACATAATAATTACCACTAAGGAACAATTTATAAGTCACTTTTAATTATACTTTAAATTTATTGAACATCATGGTGTTCAACTATCACGATACTTTACACACGATACTTTGTTATAAGTTATTATACTTCGTCCACTTATTTATTTAACTTTTGACAGCTCGAATTCTAATCAATTACTGATGTCCTAATGCGTTTCCGATTCGATTTTTTATAACAATCGACTTTATTTATGAAGTAGTTTTAATCGTAAACGTGAGCGGGTTTAAAAAAAGGTATAGTCTGATTGGCATCGTGGTGTTGCGTTTGACAATTTGTGTACTCAAGAATTAATAATAAATGTTAATGAGGATTCAAGTGATGATTCCCGTTCATATGGAGAAGAATCCGACGATTCATTTTAATAAATAATAAGAAATGATTATAATTATTCAAAATTTATTTCATTTCATTATAATTTGTTAGACAGGTACCAAAATTTATCAACTTGAATAATCTCTGTTACATAATCATTTGGCTCGATAAATGTCGGAGCTAAGGAGCGTCGCTTCACTAAAATAAAAAAATAAAAAATGATTTGTCTATGGTTGTATATCAATAATTACGGAACTTCGGAGGCATGCATATGTCGTCGTGGTGAATGTTCACCGATCCCACGGCGCCGACTCAACCGGCGAGAGGGAAACCCGGGGGGGTTTTAGTGGGGTAGGACCTCCAGTCTGGAGGGAGAGTCCCACATAACCCCTGAGTCTCCCTGGGCTCTGGGGTATCCATAAAGAGTTCCCCCCGTCAAAAATTTTAGAGATTTTAGCTCCGTTATTAAATAAATTGTTGGACGGAGTATAATACAAAGATGAGCAATAAGAAAAATTCCTACTAACTATTAATAATTATGGTAATAAAAGCTGCGTAATGGCAGATTTGAACTGGAATGGCTTATTATACTATATATTTTTTTGTCAATAATGTTATATTTTTCTTTAAGTGCCTTGTAAATACCTAGTATGAAATTATACTTATATATATTAGCATTTCATAAATAATATTTCCAAAGTTTAATTTTAGCACGGAAGTCTTTTATGCTTAATACCATGCGGGTAAAACATTTATTTATTTACAAGATATTTTATTTTTCCTAATGTTCTTTCACGCCTTCGGCATATGAAAGAATTACAATAGGAATTGTATAGAGAATACACTATTAAAAGATAAAAATCTTAGCAACGGGCCCCAGTTTTGATGTGGGGTCAAAATATGAAGACTCATCGTTTCGTTTTCGAAGTTTAACGGGTTCACAAAACTGTATGTCAAATCAGCGGTAAAACGTATGAAGAGGTAACGGTTTTCACACAAGGGGATCTTGATTTAATATCGTCAAAGATTAAATTAACGATCACTAAAGAAGAGTAGGTATAGAGTTCATACTAGGATTGGCTAAGAAGGAAAAAGTTAATGAATATTGATTCGATACACACTTTAAACTGACAGCTATATATTAGCTTGTAATATTATTATTTTTTCCATCCTCTAAGTATTATTTACACTCTACTTGTCATATCATCGCTTAGCAACAAACACCGTTCATACTTTCGAATAATTTTTAACCGGTTTCAAAAAAAGGAGATTCTCAATTCGACTGCGTTTTTTTATACATGTTACGCGATAATTCCGGCCTTTTTTGACTTGTGATCCGATTTTGATGAGTCTTTTTTGTTGGAAACAGGGTACCTCAGTTGTGGTCCCATTTAAATTTGAAGATAATATTCCACTTCTCAGAGTGGCAAACTAGGGGATGAGTCCAGTTTCGCGCACTGTCCGGTAACCTATTTCAATAAATCTTGGCAAATAGATGTAATTCTACGAACTTTTGAGGTCGAGTTCTATAGTACTTTGTACTGTGATTATAAAGGATTTATTACTAACATGATAGTAGATATAATAATAGGTGGTGAATTTATGAATAACAAATTATTATGATTTTAGAGATTTAAATCCAACTCTATGCCGCTTACGAAAAGAACGCTCCAAAGTACAAAGTTTCTAGCTTGACGTATTCTTGACTGTACTAAATAAAAGAGCATCTTAAAGTGAACAAAACTTTTTTTTTTTTTAACGCTCACAATTAACATAGCCCCGCACTAGGGAAACCCTGTGTCGCGGGTGCCATGGACACACACATAGACAACCACAAATTACACCCAAACTCACGAGAGAAATAAATGTAGGCCATACAAATATTTCTCCCGGCCCGGGAATCGAACCTGGGACCTCTGCGTGTCAGTCCGGCATGGTAACCGTTCGGCCACAGAGGCAGTTATTATATAGTATTATATCTGAACAAAAGTTAAACAAACATAATAGATGAGCAAATTACACTTGTAATTGTCACATAGATTAATCTATTACTCATTAGCTCGACTGCTAAAAGAAAAAGAGGAACTTGTGAAAAAGTTCATCCAGAGAAGTACTGCCACCTTACCTATTTCCACCGCCAAACAGTAATGTGACCATCACCGTGTTCGGGTTTTGAAGTGTAATGGGCTGGGGACAATGTCCCGGGACATTACAGGCACATCGGACTTATCAACTTATATCTCAGAATGACAGAACTTTGCGATTTAAAGATCTGAGTGTCACTGCGACTGTTATAGACATGCGTGTCGATTAACTCCAGGCGCACAACTTGTTCGTCCCGTCACTTGTTATATAAAAAAAAAAACCTCATTTGTAAGGCAGATTCCGCTGAGAGGAATGAGTAAGAAACTCAGGGCTCTTTGTAAATAAATATTTATTATTTTAATGGTACAGTACAGCCGTGGTAACCTAATAGTTTGACCTGTCGCCTCTCATGAAGAGGGTCATGGGATTCAACTCTGGGTTTTAGGAATTTGTGTGCGAAATTTAATTTGCAATTTAGCATGAGCTTTTCGGTGAAGGAAAACATCGTAAGGAAACCTACACACATCTGCAAAGCAATATAATGATGTATGTGAAATTCCCAATTAACATTAAGCCCGCGTGGTATCTATAACCTAAGACCTCATTATGAAAGGAGGTATATTCCCAGCAATGAGACTATATACAGGCTATTATTATTATCATTTAGAAGCCATTATTATTTATTATTATTGTTATTATTATTATTATTTATTATCGTTTATTATATACATTTTAAATATGATAACAGTTAAACGAGTCGCTACCATAAATTTCTGTTGTCCAAGTACTCGGAAACTATAATAAAAATAACCATAACCTATGGTATACATTTTTTATCACTTGTTTTAAGGTCGTATTCTAGAACTCTACTCAATGCTCGAGTCAGGAATTGAGTATGATTCAAAGCACTTGAAATCATACTCAAGTCCTTGCCATTAGGGTCGTATTGCCAGTGCTTGAAATCATACTCAAGTCTGCTCAAATCCTGACTTGAGCATTGAGTACAGTTCTGGAATACGACTCTTAAACTACTCTAATGGAAAATTTTGAATATCAACCGGAATCTTATTATAGAAGTGTATACATTGCCCCTTACATGAATTTGTGAATTTGTAAAGACGACTGTCTAGAACATCCAGATTGGTTTAGTTCTGTGTCGGTTATTTCTTTTTGGTTTGGAAGACAGTGGAGTACATCAGACTAAAAGTCAAATGCATCCTGAGGGTCGAGCGGTTGGAGTCCCGCCACAACGTGAATTTTAATGCGTTTCTAGTGACGTGCCAACCGAACATCTATCGACTTTATGAAGGAGGTTTGGCCGAAGGGTGTCGTAAATCGGCGTTTCCGTGCCGACACCAGATTGCGCCACACGTCGCCAACAAGTGCATTTCGTGTAGATTAGTTATTTAGTTTTTATATAACTGCCGCCGTAGTCGAATGGTTACAATACTGGACTGCCACGTAGAGGTTCTGGGTTCGATACCCAGGCCGGGTGAAATATGTGTATGGCCTACATTTATTTCTCTCGTGAGTTTGGATGTAATTTGTGGTTGATTATGTGTGTGCTTATGACACCCGCGATACAGGGTTTCCCTATTGCGGGAAACCCTGTATCGCGTGTGTTGCGTTATTATTGTCCTTGTCATTGTTATTGTTATATAGGCCATTAGTTGCCTGACTCAAATAATTAAATAAAAAAGTAAAATAAATTATTTTTATTTTTACTTGATTCACGTTCAAAGGTAAAACCCGAATTTTTTTACTTAAGCGGTTGCTATTTGTTTTTTTAATATACATTTTGTTTATTAAATTGAAATATTTTGTAGCATTGTTATCACTGGTGTACTGCAATGTAAATGTGGCAGTGGGAACACTGCTGAAGTCATCTTCACTACGGAGTTTTTGTTTGTCATTGTTACTATTTTAAGCAAAGGGAGGTGTTACAAAACACAGGATAATTATAAGTCAATGACCAGCATTAAAATATATTTTATATATGTTGTTCACCATGGAAGAAATAAATAATTATTAAATAGTGTTTCTTTTTCAATAGCATTTCTTAGCGTGCGATCTTTGTAGTAATATTTTTTTTAATAAATAAATATTACACAACATCACATTCGTTGCTCTGATCCCAAAGTAAGTAACTAAAGCACTTGCGTTATGGAAATCGGAAACAACGACGGTACCATAAACACCCAGACCCGAGACAATATAGAAAAGTTAGTTTCTACTCTGACCCGGCCGGGGATCGAACCTGGGACCTCAAAGATGGCGACACCATGAAAACCGGTGTGCAAGCCACTCGACACCGAAGCTGTCAATAATTATAACAAACTTATTTTATTTTTATTTTATTTAGACATTTATTTCAGGCCACATGACCCTTATAATATATACCTTGAGGACTAACATATATACAATATAATAATAACAATATTTCTAACTAATTGCACTTGTCGGCGACGTATTACGCAATCTGGTGTCAGGTAACCGGCCGCGGAATCGCCGATATATGACACCCTTCGGCCAAAACTCTTCCTTCATGAAGGCCGATAGATGTTCGGTCGGCACTTTCATTGATCTAAATGAATTAAAATTTACGTTGTGGCGGGACTCCAACCGCTCAGGGTGTATTTATTTAGACTGATGTACTCCACTATCTCCTCAGAGTTCATGGAGTAATGTAGTCCCGCCAGGTACAGCAACATCGTCGGTGTTGCCGAACGGAATAAACTAATGGAATAAATTCACAGAAATAATTGAATATCATGGAAATCTTTAGTCAGTCGCTGGTAGCTGTAAAGGTACCTGGCTGAATAAAGAAATAGATTTCGTTCGGACGACGCTACGGCAAAAATGTTAAAAGTAGTAGAGTTAGTAGAAAAGCTCAAACAGAGATCTGCAACAAGCACATAGAAAAAATCGTAAGGTCCTTTGGTTCGTTCCGTGGCTTAGTTGGCATAGCGTCTGCTACGGTTTGCTAGAAAACGTTGGTTCGAATCCAGCCGGATCGAAGGATTTTTCTAAGTGTTCGATCTTTGTATAAATCATTACAAAAAACTAGTGACGCAATTTGACAAAAATAATTGTATATCGCGGTAAAACATCGTGACATTAAGAGGGAGCATACCAAAAAAGTTTTGACGTTGGCTCCGCCCAAATTTGTGAAACAAATATATGCTTGAAGTTCGCGTGACATGCGACGTATGTTGAATTTTGCGCATTAAAAGTGCCAAATTCGTTTTAGCGGAATAACTCTAAAACTAAAGGGATTAAAAAAATCCGTAGTGACAGTTCTCGATAAATATAATTAATTATCTAAATTTTGTCCTAATAACCTGTAGCATTTCGATGATGAATCGAAAAAATGTGAAAATTAGAGGTCATTTCGTGATTTTTATCTATCAAGGAAACTTTATTGTTTTATGTTTCTGATTAGTGTCTATGCTTGAATATATCGTGTAGTTACTCATACAATATTTTATTTTTAACTTTAAAGTGGATATACCCCACTAAAATCAAATCGAAGATTAGGAATTTTTCCTCTGCTCCCTCTTAAATAAAAAACTTAACAATTATTATAAAATATTTGAAATAAAAGACCATATACATTACAATAGATTCTCGTCTTACCAAAAGTAAATCTCCAACTTTCTCCAATGCCCAGTAGACGCAATACATCTCGTTCAGCTGGTTCAGGACTTTTTTCAATGTAGCCGACATCGTAGCTGTATTCCTGTCGATTTCTTCCTTGTAAGTCTTCAGGACGAACGCACGGCAATGGGCCTATAATTAAAATATATTAAAGTTCTAATCTATTTTTAAAACCTTCGTCGATCGACACTGTGGTTGCAAATTGAGGAAGTCCTGGGTTGATTTCCCGTTACAGCCAATTTAACAGAATATTCTGGGTCTCATAGAATTTATTCCGTTACTCTGTATAATTCAGAGACTTCCCCTTTTTTAGACCAGCTCGATGGTGATTGTTATTATTATTATTTTGCTATGTAGAAAACAATCATCAGAAATTGATAGTCACACTTTTCCCATCTCCAAAATAATCAAATGAATCTCTAATGTCCACTTGCACAAACCTTAAGTACATCTTAAACCAATGATCGGGGATAGTGCAATTACGCTTAACTAGCATTGGATTATGAGTTTCCATTTCGGTAATTTAAAGACTAAATTAAATCCGCGTAAATGTCGTGACAATCAAATTAGTGTGATTTACGGGAATCTGTTGTTATCAGTCTGTAGACAATATAAATTAATGCTTACTGTGCAAAAATGAAATTCGTGGCCATTGAAACAACAAAGTAATCATGTTAAATCCCTCTCCTGTGAAATTTGGTTGGATGCAGATACGAGCTTTTTTACCAATATTACATACACGTGTTTGCACTGTCCGCGACGCAATACTTAAATTGGTAACACAATTAACACGATGTATTAAGGGTGTCTTTTGCATTGCAAGCATCTGGATCATTGATGGAGTACTAAGACCAGAACCAAATTAGAAAAGTTTATTTCCCAAATTGGTTCTGTCAGGAATCGAACCCGGGACCTTTCCATCCAACATCCACAGTGAAAACCGTAGAGTCACCGGTCACCATAGAGGAAAACTTTTCTTAATTTGGTCCGTGCTTTCAACTACTTGAAGTTTGGTTCCTGTACCCTTGATATCCTATACCCTTTGTTGGAAGTACTAACCTAACCCCGGTAAAAAAATATATGAGTGAGTCACCAAGACTATTCAAGTTTCTAATAATGTGTTATCCAATAAGTAGAAATAAAAACTTTCTTCCAATATCATAACTGAGACCTGAACTGCTAAAAGCACATTAACATCATTGTAAAATAACATGATGATGTCATGGTTTCAGAACCTCAGGTTTATTACCCCCAGAGGTAAAACAGCTATTCTGCGGGGGTAATTAAGTAACAAATTTACCAACAACTTATAGATATGAGAGTGGTTTCTCAACTTTAGTGACAGTAAAAAAACAAAGACCAGAAATCATCTCATATGAAACAAGACTTGTGAAAAGTTTTGAGAGAAATAAAACACAACATTAAAAAAACTTGCGAATGTGAAACAATACCCACCATAACACTGAAAGTAATTAATGATATTGTAAGAACATATTATACTCGTATTTGGTGCAATTTATTTTAAGGCTGAGAGTAAAATACAGGCACATGGGACTTGTCAACTTATGTCTCGGGGGGCAGTGCACTGCCACAGACGATGGGGCGCTGGCCCCTCAGATCATCGCGATTTAAAGCTCTGAGCGACAATGCAACTGTTATAGACAGGCGTGCAGCTTACCACCAGGCGCGCGACTTATCCGATCCGTCGTTTGGGCGCTTGGTCTTGGTTGGATAAAAAAAATCGATTCCCCTGATAGGTCATAGGGGTATCAAAATTGCAAAGGTTAGGAATCGCTGCTCTATGGGCTGTTATTTCACATGTGAATGCTAATTAATTGTATTACATAATCTTCTTTCAATACGAATTTATAGAATCACTAGCAAGTAGTAGCTAGGTTAAGTTATCAACCATCAATTCGTCATGCGACTAACGGAATGCCTACCGTTAATCACGCCCAATTGAATGTCGACGTAAACCCACCATTTGAACGCGGGAATAAACGCGATTAAACAATTTGATAGATGTTACCTAGGTCGGGCACGGGTTTAGTCTCTGTGTCTAATCTAAATTAATTTTATGCCATGATAAATTAAGGTAAATGTCCCAGTGGTTGACACTGTCCCAATGTATGACACTTTTGCATTTTTTCACGAAAAATAAGAAAAAAAAATTTTGATATTACTCCAAAACCGTGTTAAATGTACTTGCAACGACATCTTGGAATTTAATTTAAAAGCTTTCATCGATTCATTCAATAATTTTTGAATATGGCGAAAGTCTTTGTGAGCAAGTGATCGGAGTGTAACGTGTGTCGCTCTTGTTATAGAAATCGCTAAGACTTTGAGTAGTTTAAGTGAATTTATCAGGCGGAATATTATTAATTACCGGTAAGTGTTAATTAAAATTATTAGATAACTGTAAAAACAATTAATTTTATTTTAGAGGCATGTCAAACACTGGCCCAAAATTTTAATGTTTACTAGTAGTTGACACCCATGTCAAGCACTCGTATATATTAATATTTTTTAAAACTTAATTTCGACCATTTGGTAAGGACGGAGAACATAAATTTGGATTACTCTGTTAGTGACAAGTTTCTACGGGTAGTCAGAGTAGTGTTCGACATGGGTGTCAAAGATTGTTTTACTATGGGACCCAATAATTGACAGTTGTATATTGAGGACTAGTTACGCCCTAGTGTTTGACACTAGGGCGTAACTAGTGTCAAATATTGGTTACCGATATTGTTCAATGAAAAAATGCCACTAAGGCTGTCGCCTTATTCTAATGATGACGTATTGAAGGCGGTAGACGAAGTATCAAGATTCATTCCTATCGCAGCAGCTGCTAGGAAATGTGGGGTACCGCGGATTATTTCACTGTATAAAATTTTACTAACTTCAAATTTCATTAAATTTGTATCAACATTTTAGTAACTCATTTTTATCTAAAATTTTGCACAGAGACTCTAGATGAAGTACGCATTATTAAAGGACCCAAGTCCTTTAATATAACTACACCTTCTGTTACATCCGTATATTTTCTATTCCTAGTTTATATTTTGTATGTTTTTGCACTCACTTACTTACCTTGACTACAAAGGTAAGTAAGTATTTATTAATTTTAATAAAAGCGTCGTGATTGATTGTGGTTTTTTCTTATTTTTTTTAATTTATTGTTATAAAGTGATTAATGCGTTTAAATAACTATGAGAACTTAACATAACGTCCTGTCAAATACTGGTACTCCGATCTCACTGTGCCATAGTCAACTATTGGGACATTAGAAATTTTGCCTGTCATGCACTGGTACAATTTTAGAGGTAGCGAAAAACTGGAATATATTAATAATGGCTATGATTATTTTAAATTTTATTGTTCCTAGAAGATAAATGACAAACCGTTTAATATGTTAACATACCCAGGTAGTCGGTATGACTGATAATTAAGTATTTTTTTGGCAATATACTTGATTTTCCGTCTAAAAGTTTCAACCACTAGTACATTTATTTTAATGGTTACTGTGCAAAAATGAAAGTCGTGGCCATAGAAACAACAAAGTAATAACGTTAAATCCCTCTCCTGTAAAATTTAGTTTCATGCAGATACGCGTTTTTTACCCATGCTACATACGCGCATATACTAGTGCGACGACTTGTACTTTTGACAAGTTGACTGCAGTTTTAAGACATTGTATGCCCGTCTTAGGTAAGTACTGTGAATACAATTTAATGTAAGTAACACCTTTATTCTATCAATTCATACAATAAATATTTCTGATTAAGAAAATAAGAAAAGAACGATTGCCGTCCAAAAACTGTAAAGAGTCATTAATACTAAAAATAATAATCGTACGACAATAATGCATAGTATCCATTGACTTACAATTATATGGACGTCGGGTCCGCGCTAAACAGTGTCCGAACTTATAGGGCGTTAAAATCGTATACAGAGCGTCATTCACGCTTTAGTCTTCGTTTGTTTCTTCTGACAGCGAAGCAAGCAAAATTAGACAGTACTGCGATGACATTACAATTTAAATTCAACGTTTTAGCTTTTTCATATTCCTTTACATGTCACTACATTTAAATAGGTTGACTTGGGACATTTTTTTCGTGGTTTTTGTATTAGACCCGTCGTCCATTTATTTGTAAGTCAATGATAGCATCCGTCAAAAAGCACAAACAATTGACGATATGTACAATGAGATAATATTGTAAAGATTAAAAATGAAAAACAAAGATAGCGAGCCAATTACGCAACTTACTTCAGTAGCGGCAACAAATTGAACAGACGTGGAATTCCAAGCATCTTCTGGAGACAGTCCTCTCTTCCTATACTTGTCGATGTTCGCCGCACATGTTTCTATTTTTCTTTGGAAATGTTAAATGTGTCAGTTTATATAATATATATCAATTAAACCTAGATTCACATGTGGTCACACGTTTTTTGTGACAAAAAAGTCATTAATTAATACTAACTACACATATTTTTTTCCGTGTTAACTACACGTATAAAATTGTATAATTCTCCCATTTAAGCGTAGATATAACCTCAAATGGCTTTGGTTGATTCCGCATAACACCGAAAGTGTTGAATCAATCACTTTGAAGAAAATATATAGTAATATTGACGATATACACAGAATAAATGATAGTAGATACGGCGTGAAAACAAGATTCCTAAAAATGCGTTCAATAGGTAATTTAAACATATTAATGTTTTTTTTTTAATATCAACTAAACTAAATATAACTCGTATAGTATACGACATTTAATTTCGAAATAAAGCCAATGTCGCAGTAGAACCGATTCAGCATGGAAAAAAATTCAATTCGAGCTGAGGTAATAATGACACTTAAGGTTAAAAAGTTATAGACTAATTTCGTTTATAGAATCTTTAAACCTCTCTCCTAATAGTCATTATTTTACAGATGTAAAATGACGCCTCGTAAGTACATAACATTTTAGACTTTAAGGAATATAATACCACTGGATCCTGTTGTCTGAAAATAAATATTTTTAATTGTAATTTGAATTACACTGCAGTATAAGTATTTTTATGAATTCCTACAACTACAAATATGTTTCTTGGAAATATATGTTTATACATATATTTGTAAGCTGTAGAACGCCTAGTGAAAGAGTTCGTCCAGGGAAGTACTGCCACCTTACCTATTTCTGCTGCCAAGCAGTAATGTTAGCATTATTGTAATCCTGTTTTGAAGGGGTGCTGGTGAAATTGCAAGCACGTGGGACTTGTCAACTTATGTCTCATGGTGACGGGCGCAGTGGCAGTGCTCCTCAGATTTTTGCGATTTGAAGGTCTGAGTGGCACTGCAACTGTTCTGAACAGGTGTGTAGCTTACCATCAGGCGCACGACTTGTTCGTCCCGTCACTTGATATTATAAAAAAAACACAAATCTTCTTTTTCTTCTTACCCTCTAGCTACTTTCTGGAAAGCCCTGACGATTCCTTCTACAGATCCATCCCATCGCTTCATTGGAGTTTTATCAGTCAGGTACGCCATTATCGGGCTCAAAGGTTTTCCTTTTAATGCTTCATTCCAGGCTTTGTATAGAGACCTAGTAGACAAATCATTTTTATTTTTTAATTGTCCTTAAATTGACTTTCTTTTATTTAGATATGTAAAAGTTTGTATAAAAGTTCCTGAGGTAGCTCTTATTAAATTTAGGTTCGAGCGTCATAACACTGTTTATAGCGAATATGGACAAATCGTAACCTTGTTATAATAGAGTCACACGTGATCATATGTCTAAGTAAAGTGCTTTTATCACAAATGAAAATCATAAAAATAATACGAAAGTCATGAAACAATGTGATTAAGTAAAATTTGATAACTCTCCTATTTAGCATAAAAAAGTTATCGACCAACTTCTTTCATAGCGCGTGTGTGAAAGCCTGCCCCGAAAGACAATAATAGTAATATAGTTTATTTCCTTCACACACAACTCTATAACAATACTATATCATTATGTTATAAACCAATAAAAAAAAACTGACAGCAAAAATTGTGATGAATGTGTGATGTGTTTATTTATTTTATATATTGAATAGGGTGGTTTGCATCAAT